TAATATGTTGTTGATATGTATGTTTTTACGTAATTAACAAAAACATGCATTCCGATTCTTTTGTCTAGGTACTGTATATATAAACTTTAACACTTTGTAAATAAACGAAAAAAAAATAATGATTATTAACATCCATCAATTAGTTAGATGCTTAGGAAAGACACTATGTTTGGCCACATGCCTCAAAACATCATGGCGTTATGGTAAGGTTATTGTGCCAACTACTTTTAACATGGCGAATTTAACATCAAACCAAGTATTTTGAATTTTCCTTTAGTTCTTCCTAAAAAGGAATTATATATTTTTTTCACAGGAAAAAATTTTAATTAATAAACTTCTTTATATGGGCAAAATTTGTCACACCAAAAAATTGATACTGGAATCAGTCCTATTGAAAAACTATAATAATAATAAATTCGAGTACTACTAGATGTTGGAAACGGTTTTAAACCGAATTTAATAAAACCGGTTTTAATTTTGTGGGAAATATCTCAAAATTATCTTTCACTGTCATTAAACAATTCCTTGCTAAATTATATTATTGTATTAGTGTAAACATTAAATAAATGTATCATCATCTTTCGAATTTACATATTGTGAAATAGTAATAGTAATAGTGATTTACGAACATACTTTCTATTAGTTTGATATTTATTAATATTCACTTTTACAATAACATTTTTATAGATACTAAACAAATTGAATTAACAGATTCTAAACAAATTTGAATTAACAGATTCTAAACAAATTGAATTGAGTCTACCAGCTGAATCTTGTCATTTTATTATGTATTAAAATTATTTATTATTTTATCTTATTTAGTTAGCTACTAATAGTTGTGATTCAGGGCTGGAAATAGTACTTTAAAAATCTGGGTTTTCCTTTAAAAAATTTTAGCCACTGGGAAAAAAGAGTTGCCGGATATTTTTCCTTTTTATTTTTTTATTATTGTGTACAGATTTCCCATCCGCATAAAAAATTATATATAAAATAATATATATGTATCATTACTTCAATATTTTAGAAAAGAACCATAATTTGTATCTTTTGAATTTTCAAAAGAAAAGTATTGACTCAATTTAAATCTTATTTCACTGCTATTAAATTATTAAATTTAAAAATATATATGCTTTAAATAAATATGAATTTATGTGTAATTGTTTTCCCTTATTCAAAAAAAATAAAATAAAATGCTATCCATAAAATATATTATATGTGAAGAAAGATGTGACTCTAAATTAACACAAAAAAATTTTAAATCATGTACAAACCTATTATTCCTTTCAGTAAAATTACAAATGTATTCAAATAATAACTTTATGTAATGGTGCAATTGGTGGTGCATTCTTGGATTCCATGTGATTGTACTGGCTATTTTTTTTATCATATATTTTAAATATAATTGATTAATATATCTTGATTAAGATGATTAAAATAAAAATAAAATAACAAATGTGACTTAGCTTTTTTATTACTATTTAATTCTTTCTTTGTGCATGACCCACTGTTAGATGTGTCTATTGGCATAACAAACAATTGCATCACCCAAGTAATAATGATACCAAGACCATGCAGAAATAAAACTTTTAATATATGTCTCTAGGGTTTATCAATAAATAATAAGTAACTCTATCTTCCCTTGGACTAGGTACTTTAAAAATCATGAATAAATCTGATGATATTGATCACAAGTGTCAGATTTAATAAGTTTTCCTATTACAAACATACAACGACCATGCTTTCGCACACCTTCAAGCCATGAAATGTTTTACATGGTTGAGCCACGGGTATGTTTGAAGGCTTTGGACAAGAAGGATTTTTAGCCAATGTTGTCACCAAAACAATTGTCATTATTAATTACCAGCTGCCAAGGTAATTTAAAAAGATCCAGAAAAGTTGTAATCCACAACCCAAGCACCAGTCATTTTGAAAAGCCATCCTACTGGCTTGGTAGAGTTGTTGTTAGCGATTTCTGAGTTGGTCACTTTGTCAATTGTTGTCGGTGAAATAAACAAATTGTCAGTGCCACTGGCTTTAATACATCTCCTTGACAACAATGCAAATTCACAAACTTCAGAGCTAAGCACCCCCCCCTGAAGTTTAGCCATGTTGTATGTGTAAATGAAATTATGTGAATTCGCAATTCACATAATTTCAATTTCACATACAACACCACATCATCATAACATCAGGGAACACAAGTCAAGTTCACCTTAAATCACGTTAGGAACCAGAAGAATGATTGCATTTCCAAAGAGCCCAAATGCGTACGGTTTTTCGTATGTGAAGGTGAGATTATGTTGTTTTTAGCGCCTCTGACATTTTTTATTATTATAATTAATGTTAATATTAATAATAACAATGAAAAGCACACCAATCATTTATCATGATAAATAATCACCTTTGCTATATAAAAGACACAAGTTCTGTTTGCATGATATTTTCTAAAAAAAAATAAGGCAATAAGTGCAATCAGTATGAAACAATAAACTGATAAAAACGACACATCTTTGAAAACATACCAAAATGTTTTGAAAAAAAAAGATGTGTTGCACAATAAAAATGTCATTAAAAATTTTCTGGGTGGCTTTTATATTAATATTAATAACATAGTGCAGTCAGGGATTTACCAAATTTGGAAATTTCCAAATACTGTAATGATCAACGTGGCAAATGTGTCAAATGAAAATTTTGATTGACAAATAAACAAATTTGTGGCAGATTAAATTTTATTAGTTTTAATGAATTCATATCTAAAATTTGTTATTACTGATTGCATTTCAACAAATTTATTTTTTTATGTG